CCAAAGCCACGAAACGTGAGTCGAATTTCTAGTGCGAAATCACATTTTGCTAAGGTCGCTGAATGTTTGTTTTGCAAATGCCGAATTAACATTAATTTTGCATATGTAAAAATCATTTTTATTTCCGATAAAAGTTGTACTTTCCTTTTAGCGGGGTTGTGTGAACAGGAGAACAAGTTCTCGTTCACCTGCCGCGCCAAAAAATCATTATCATCCAAGAAAACCTGAATTCAGACGACGCGTGTTTCCTGTTTGCAAGGCCTAAAACAAGTTTTCATTTTTTTAAGGGGAGCCATCGCATAACTCAAAAACGGCAGGAAACATTCCTTTCCTTTTTGGCCAGCACTCTCTCAAATAATTAAAAACTCTTGTTTGAGATTTATCAGACGAAGAAGAAACCAATCAAACCGCATTCCAATCAAGTAATGTAAGATGATAAGAAAAGAACATTTGGGGATAACAAAAAAGGTTTCAATTTACTTGCCAACGCCAAAAACCAGACGAGCCTCAATTTTATTGATGTTCTCCATGATATATGTGAAGGGGAAATAAATATTTCGTGAGTAAAGCACTAAAATTGAGTTTGATTTTCATCAAATCACGTGACATGCCTTGAATATGGAACACCGAAATTTATTTGGCCCCATCAACTCCCAGTCTATGCAAATAAGTAGAGCAAATGCGAATACAGTTTTGAAGGCCTTCCCATTTTCCTCCCCAAACCACAGACAAGATTTATGCGTTTTTCATATTGACAACGCTCAAACAATAGACTCCCCATCAGTCGCTGTATATTTGCGTTTGCTGCCATGACAACTGTCGTTTATTACACTTTGAATTTGGCCAAAGAACTATGCCTAACGAAAGGCTGGCTTAAATTAAAAAAGAAAAAACAGACCTTATATTTTTGCAAACCTTTTTTATTTAATGTCAAAATTGTTATACAGTTTTAAAGAGATTTTAAAGCCAAAAACTGTTTATCTCTATAAAAAACTAAATTGTGTCGGAATGACTTCCTTTGACCAACTTTTTTATTGTCAATATTCCAAGGTTGTTAAGTTTTTTATTGAGCAGGAAACCTATCTTACAAAGTTTTTTATAAACTGATGATAAAGTATCTTCCCTGCCCAAAGCTAAAAATTGGTAATTTGCTTTAAGCCATTAAATAATTTGTATCTATATTTAAAAAGTAACGAAAGACTCAGCGCTTTCTGTGAAAATAAATTCGCTTTCTGTGCTGTAATTTCACGTAATTTAAATTGGGCCTAAGACTACCAGTCAACGCATTTCTGCCATTATCTGAACAATTATGGTATAGGCCAAACCTAATGATAGTCGCCGGCCTGAACAATGTGGTTCAATTTCGAAAGAAAATCGTGCCGCTGCGGCCAATCTTGGCTTTAATTAAGGTTTTATTCCACCAAAGTTGGGACAACGCCTTTGCTCAGAAATGTACATAGAAGCGATCATAGATATAGATATGGGTATATACCTATAAGCTCCATTCAAGCGGACGACTTTCGCCTTGTTCATGCAATTTGTATAAACTCTAAATGATTATTACCAATAAATCTGCAAAAAAAAAGAAAAAATAAAAGACACGTACAGAAAATCCGAAAAACTGGTTAGGGTAGAAAGCCAGAAAAAACCAGGGACACCGCCCAAGCTGACCACCACTTATAGCCCCAGTATCTGCGGATGATATGTAACCCAAGTGGCAGACGACAGACGCAAACAGGTAAAAGTGATTTGTCTCTCGATGCCTAAGCAGCCAAGAGAAGCAAACATATATCCATTCGAAATTCGAATAATCCAATCGTGTTTTGGGGCATGTTGCGTGAATTCAACGACGGCTTCCGACAGCTTGTCATGCAAATGAGCTGGTCGATCCTTGTTGGGAGGAAAACAAACATGGAAAGCCGGCCAGACACATGAAGAAAACTTTTCACCAGCTTTGGTTATCAATTTGTAACCAATCATATCACTTTAAAATATACATATATTTTTTTAAGCCGCACTAATATTAATTTCACAAATGATTCATCAAACAATATTATGAATAATATAATTCTCGGGTATTCTAATTTAAAATTCAGAAAATGTAAACAAATCTTATCAGCTTTAATATGTGCGCCATTTATTTACAACAGCTGAAAAAATTGATTAGTAAATTAAATATATATGTATAAATATAAAATAAAATAAATATTTTTAATATATATATATTTTAATTATCAAGAGTTATTAACATATTTAAAATATTAGATATAAACTCATATTATCAAAAGGTCATCAAATTGGCAATAGACTATGTAAAAAAAAATTGAGATTCAATTACTTAAAATTTCTTTCTCTGTAAGCAAACTCTGGACTTTCTCAACGCAGTCAGCTATTCTCCCACGTTGACACCTAACCTTACGGCAAAGCAAAATAAACAAATTAGTCGTAATGAGATGGGGGCCACTGGGGCTCAAAAGTAAGTGTGGTCATCAGCATTCGGTCGGCTTTTCCACACTTTTCACTTTCACGCGCCGGCGAAAATCTTCGACCCACTTGTATTCTTGATTACCGAGGCCTGCTTTCATTTTCATTGAGCAAAAAGCGAAACACAAAATAGTGGAAGTGGATCTGGTGACAGATACAGATACATATAAACCAACATAGGCACAGAGACACCTGGCCAGTACAGGTTGCTTAACCCAATTTTCGATATCTGTACATCGCTGCTTTTGTGGGCTAAGCCAGCTACGCAACTGTATTTATTTTTTTTTTTTTGCGAAAAAAAAAACTACAGCCCGATTGCATTGAGGCGGCCTAAACGCATTTTTGCGGCAAGCTTTACAAAAGTCCAACAAAAACCAGACTTAACTAAAGTAAAGCAATGCTGTGGTATGGATTGCACCTGTCAGTGGGTTTATGAAAAATGAATGTTGCACTACATTTTGAATTATAAAAAAATGGGAAGTATGAAGCGATTTGCAGGAAACTATTAGGTTAACTTAGGTTAATTTTAAGTAATACAGCATATAAAAACATGGTTTAAATTTTAGTAACATGCAAATCACAAACGAAGGGTGTAACATTTAAATTTAATAAAACATCTAAAACTAAACATAACTATTTTATGGCCTTTTCATATTGCGGAAAACCTCTTCATACCCAAAAACGTTTAAATTGTTGAAATGTCTGTGGTCTCTGCACAGACACGCGTCGTATATTTCAATTTTCGCACTGTCTGACTGGAATAAATTGGTTTTTGCAAAAAACCGAAACAAATTTATACAATGTTTGCATTTGCTAAATCGTTGGCTTTTGTTTATAATTTTAAGTAAATACAAATTTCGAATATATGCATATAACCCTTCTATGATTACAACGCCGCTGGCTAAAAACGACCACCCAAAAGTAAATACATTCGAGCTCCATAAATCAAAGATTAAACGCTTAATTAATCTTGCTCATTCCCAAAGCGAAAAATGTAATAAATGATGAGCCAAATAAAAAGCTCGTAAAGCGTAAAATAAATAATTTAAATGGCAGAGAATAACAAAAGGAAGTTTACTTTACTGCAATTCGACTGGATGATGTCATGCCATGGAACAGAGAAAGAGGAAAATCAACAAAGCCTTAAATACTTAGATAAACAAAAATAGTAACAAAACGAAACACTTAACTATGCAACTTGGGAAACAAACTCAACGTCATCATAATTATTTTTAATTCCCCTATCAATGCAAAGTTTGTTTGTTTCCCACCGTCAAGAACCCAAGCCGTTCAGCTGGAGGTCACATGTGTGCCTTTCGGATGCGCGATCAAGTTCCAAAGAACCGGACAGAAATCCCCCTTAGAACCACCTCGATCGGTCCACTCAACGTGACTTTAAACTTGACTCAACTCAACTCACAGTTATTTGCAATTTATAATTGTGTAGCTATAGATAGACTGATGTATCCCTCGGATACAGTTGGATGCCTAGAGAGAACGAGTGTATCTTCCATATTTCAGTTGTATAAGCAACTTATGACTGACACGCCAATGCGATTGCATAAAGCAAGTTTTTGTAATAAACCTGCATTACGACAGAATCGAGAATTGCATGGACAATCAGTGAAAAATAGCGCAAAAAACAAAAATATTGAGTAGGAATAAACAGCAAGTAAATTGTTATGAAGGTGACACCAAATGGAAATATCAGTTTAATGAGCTTTTGTTAATCTCAAATATAACGGTCTATTTGCAAATATTTGTATGTTATTGCTTAAAAAATATAAACAGCAATAATTCATTACCTCTTAAACGCTAACAACCTCATTTAATAATGATATTTTTTTGAACCTGTCGCCTTGAAACTTTGTCATAATACATTTTTTTCAATGCCTAAATATATTATATGGCTTACTCATAAAAATCTATACATATAATTATAATATCTATTCCCCCTGTTGCATATTCTTTTCAACACCACTTCCTTTAACTTTTTCGCACAATTTTCATATCAAGCCACCAAGCCGCTCGTAAATCAGACTGTCCCCTTTCTTGGTTTGAAAAAAATGTGCTACTCAATATGCAATTTAAAAATTCTCAGAATTTTCAGACTGTCAGGTAGAAGCCGAAACCAAAACTGTTTAGCAGCAAAAACCGCCAGAAAGGCAAAACAAAGAGCTACGAAAACTTTCAAGCAACGTAATTTATTTCTGAGAGTTAAACTACAATTAAAACTCCCACAGAGCGGGATGGGACTATTAGAAGAGATAGTGTGAGAGCGGGATGGGGTCTCTACCCCATTTGGGGATTTTTAACGAGTTTCCAACTCGTTGCCAGCTAATTATTATTAGAGCCGTAAACGGAATTTAAGATCATGTGACTTGAAATCGCAACGATAATGAAAATGAGTCGCACATAAAATTACGCAATAAAACTTTAGCTTTCAAGTTTAAATGACTTGAAGGCGGAATTGGGTTAAGCACAACATGTCAAATGATTTTTAATTGGGAACTCACGTTTCCGGTCGATGAAGAACTCGAAGAAGAAACTGCAAAGAGAAGGGAGAAGATATACAAATATTAATCAAAATTTGCTTTGCGAATTTTCTAAGAATAGGCATAAATACATTTAAACTGCGACTGAGCTGAAAACATTTATCTGCGAGAAATTGCGCATTGTGCGAAGAAAAAGCGGAAGCAATAATTTTTGATGCGAAATTAACTGAGAGGCTTAGTATACGAGTATATTCCAAGCCCACAAACTCAAATCAAATGACGACATTCTCTAGACAAGTTCAAGGTGATTTTGTCTGACTCGTTCTCTTTTTTCCATTTTCCATTTTTCAATTTCAATTAAATTCATGATAAATTTAAGAGTTCGCTGGGAGCAAAATTGAATCGTTTGCGCTTCGGTGGGCTGACCTACCGCAGTCCAAAAGCCCGCCATTGCAATCTTCTCTGGGTATTAAATTTCCAACTCATTAAAATTTTGTACACTGTCTGGATGGAATGGCAGGTCCAGAACGGACTATATACGGTTAAGGGTTGCCCTGGACTCTTTTCCCCAGTTTGCCAGTTTGCGCATTTCCCAGCTAAAGGGGCAAAAAAAGAAAAAATATGAAGGCTTGTCATTCATAAATGAAGTGCATAAAAATGCCTTCAACTGATGTGAGAAACGTGCAGTCCCGACAACTTTATAAAGAGCAATGCTCCAGCTGTACCCCTCTTCCTACTCCCACCCATAACTTATGTCTGAGCTTAATCAGAACCTTTTGACTTATCAATTAGGAATTCTAGAGTGATTCACTTGCCGCACTAATTGATATCAATTGTTCAGGTTCCGGAAGGTCGCCCGGCAACGGAAGTGGGAATTATTTACAGAATCTTATCTTATCCTCTCACAATCTGCGTCATATATAATATAGAGTATGTCTGTTTATATATTTTGTAAAGTTAAGTAAGCCAAAAATATCGAATGCATGCGTCAGTTTGATCATCCCACGCCGTGTAAACAATAAACAATGAAACGAATTTGGCAAAAACAAAGCACAAATTGCGCCAAATTGAGTGAGAGAGATACTCGTACCAAAACCTCATAATTGGAGAGGTTTCTACAAAAGGTCAGCCAAGCAATTGGCGAACCACTCGAACAAAACAACTGGCGAAACAAACAAACAAACTGTTGAGAAAATAAAAACAAAAAGCTAATGACAAAGCGAAGCAATAAAAATTAGAAGTTTGTGGCAAGATTAAACGTTTTCTCAAGTGCCGTAGGGCAAAAAGGGTATACAAAGATTTTACAGGAAGTTTGCAATGAGGAAGGAAATATTTTCGGACTTTATTCATAACTTAGTTAGCCAACAAAAGCTGATAGAGTAAGCATAATTAAAATTTTATTATATTTAAATATTCTTAAATAAATTATTCAATCAAAGTGGTATTATGTACCCAATTAGAATGGAATATAAAATCGAGAGAGTCAATTAAAAATGGATTAAGTTTCGGATAGTTAAATAATTAGTCAAACTAAAACAGGTTAAGCTTTAATTTAAGGTCACATTTACTTTTTAGTTTGTTCTTGTGAATTTGTCAATTTTTGTCAAAATAATAAATTTGTAGTTTCAAATGTTACTATTTGGCAGGGTGTTTGTAGGTGCCAATATCACTTTATATTTTTGTTTCCTTTTCTTCAGTTAGTTTTTCTCAGGTTTTCCAAGCATTTTATTTCCCTTTTTTTAACAACGACGACGACAAGCCCTTTTTTGCTGTTCTGCGTTGTTGGCGTTGTTCTTCTGGGGCGTTTGTTCTGGATGGGAAACATTTAACTTGGCTAAAAGCGGCATTAGTGCGATGTATGGGGCGTGTTCCGCCCGAAGGGAAGACAGCCAATTAATTTTTTAATGGCTTAGACGAAATGACTGACTTTGGATTATTACAAAAAGAAACGACAAAAGAGCGGCGAAAAGTTTTTCCTTTTCAGTTGGAAATTGTCAATTAGTTAAGTGCTTGGCCAAGAATTTCCAATTTTTAAACTCCTTCGGGCCACGCCCCTGCCGGTCCAATTTTTTGGGCTATTATTTAAGTGACTTGGGACTTGCATTTTTATGATGTTTAATCTAATTTCTATTTTACGATCTGAGCATTTTTTACGGTCGTTTGCCTAACGACCTGGGCGCTGAAATAAGTTAACCGCAAAAAGATTTTGCCGCTGGGTTTGGTTGGGTGATTTTTTTTTTATTTTAGATTGTTGTGGTATATTTTTGTATTTATTTAAGAGCGGTGGACCAGGGCTCGGACCAGAGCAATTTGTTTTGATTGAATGAAATATCAAAAACGTGACCTGGCCGTGCACTTTGAGCAATCCAGCAAACCGAAAAGAAACAAATATATAATTCAGGCAATAATTTAGGAAAAGAGAGAGGCATAGAGCGGTAGAAAGAGATGGATGGAGAGCAACGTTCACCGGCTAAATGAAATGTATGCAAATTGAGCGTGAACAACCGCTTTAACCCGCAAGCACGTGCGAGTGATTGAGCTGATAGAGAGAGAGAAGGAAGGGTAGAGTGGTAGAAAGAGAGGGGTAAAGAACGGAGTAGACTGCCAGAAAGAGAGGGGTAGATTGCAAGCAAGAAATGGGTAGAGGCTGAGCTATAATTCTATCTATCTGTGCGAGACTGATGTTCATTGCTCGATAAGTGCTCAATGATTAGTAATCTGAATAAGCTTCCCAGCATCTCAATAACTCACTTTTAGCTATCTTCCTTCATACTATATATCTCCGATTCTCTGTCCCTTTCGCTCTTAATCGTGTTCAAGTGGCCAGTTAATCCTGCCAGCTTCCTGTGCCAAGGAGTTATGGAGCATGTGTGTGTAAGAGTGTTTTTGTATCTGCTTTGAATACTTCATCATATTCATGACTTTTACATGCATTGCACTTCCGTGAGTGCTTCTGCTTAACAACGAGGGCTGTTGAAGGAGTTGCCTTGAAGACAGAGTTGATTGCTCTCAATAATAGAACGATTTCTCTTGTAACTTTTCATAAGTGAAACAACATATTGCAACACTTTAATTCTAATTTCTGTTAAATAACATTCAAAGTGTCTCAAAAGAAATAATTATTTCAAGCTTTAATTTGAATTTTCTACCTCGCTTATCTTCCCCTCAAATAATAATTACATCGAGATTTAATTTGAAATTGCCAGCCTCGCTTAAATCCCAACTCACCCACTCAAATCTTTATTTATCTTCCCATGACATCAGTGCTCAACAATCCCTCGTGTTTATCGACGATAATCTACATCCTTTGGCTGTCCACAGGTTATGCCAACACTTGGCAAAATTTATTCATCTTCAGCGAAGATAACTTCATCGAGCCTCCCACGCTGCACGAGTCCCTCGTTTTTGCTAAGCTCTCTTGGAATGCTTTTGCCAACGCCATAACTTTGCCCTAACACCCGCTACAGCGACCACAGCCACTTTTTTTTTTTTCAACCAGCCCCCCTTTGAGTCTGACCCATCTGTGTTGGCCACATTGTTTCGTTCTCCACCACGACTTTTTTATTTTTTGTTAATACACAGAAAATAAATATATAAATATGCATATTTATGCAACATTTTAAGAGAATTGCAAAAAAAACCTATATTTATATTCAACATAAATTAGTAATATTCATGAAGAACACATTTCACACACAATAAAGACAATTAAATATTACCGGTATAGATTTTTAGGTAAATTTTCAACACCAATAACTTAAAAAACCTATTAATATAGTAAATAATAAAAAAAAATAACTAACTGAAATAACTAGGAATGCGTTATTCTTTGTGTACATCTCCTGCGGGTCTCAGCTGCGGTCACACACAACAGCGAACGAAATCTTTGGCGCTGCCACAATTGGCAGGCAGTTGAAAGTTGGAGGGGGGAGCGGGGAATTCGCGGGATTGAGGCTTGGAGGACCAGAGAACCGGAGCACCGGAGACCCGGAGGCGGAGCAGTTGGAGGAGGCCACTTGGTCGCGACCACAGAAGTGACTTAACTCGTTTTAAGCCTTCTCATATGCTTGGCGTTTTTTTTTTGTTACTCTCCACCAGAGTTGCCTGCATCTATTTCATTTCAAACTCCACTAGACATGCCACAACGATGACACTTGACTGAATATTTATGGCCACAAATGGAGCGAAAATAAAATCGCCAAGTCACGGGGCCAGAAATAGAAAAAAATATAACAGTTGAGGGGGAAAAAAAAAGTGGACACACATGGCGATGATTTTTAGATGCGGATGGGCTGCTGCTCCATGTCCGCGGAGACCATGCCCTTTTTTGGGGCGGGCTGTAACCGTTAGTCCGACCGACTTAAACGGCTACTAAAGTCTTATAAGTCCTCGCCTGCATCCGACTCGAAATCGGAGTTTAAGTAAGACTCTGAAATGGTTTCCAATTCAGATTCTTACACAGGAAAAAAAATATTATTTAAATTAAACCATTTTACCAACTAGCTTAAGGCTATTGTAGAAGTTGGGAGCAGATTTCAATTTAAGATCATATTTCATACGTCCAAGTTTTCGATTAGCTTCAAAATTTACTGAAAAAAAAAAAAAGTAATCAACATTTATTCTCTGACTTTAATGACGTTTTATTTTCCTGTTTTTCAGTTGAAAACATTGACTTGAAAAAGGATTTTTGTTCTGTGCCTAAGTTTGCCCCGTTTATTGGTTTCTTTCGAGTTGCCTTTTGGCGATCTCTATCTTTATCTGCACTTATGTGTGGGCACACGATTGTCTGCTCTCGTTGCTTGTCTCAAATATTTGCGCTTATTTATGTGGCTTTTGTATTATCAGCTTGTTTGTTTAATGATTATGGGTTTCTATTTTTTTTGTTTTTATTTTTTTTTTTTTTGGAGGAGCTGAGTCGACAAAAGCTGGTTCGACTACCGTGTTTGGTTAGGTTTTCTGTTTGCTAGAAGAGCACGGAGCACTTTTGCTTTAAGCCTATCTGTATGACCGCCATGTACTCGCCGGCAAATATGTAATGAAGCATAAGCAATTA